TCACTTTTTATGCCTTACTATACTATGACGTTTTTATCACTTTTTATGCCTTACTATAGTATGACATTTTTATGCCTTGCTATACTATGACATTTTTATCACTTTTTATGCCTTACTATACTATAACATTTTTAATCACTTTTTATGCCTTACTATACTATGACGTTTTCATGCCTTACTATACTATTACATTTTTATCACTTTTTATGCCTTACCATACTATGACGTTTTCATGCCTTACTATACTATGACGTTTTTATCATTTTTTATGCCTTACTATACTATGACATTTCATGTATTACTGTACTATGACATTTTTTCAAATTTTTTCGCCTTACTATACTATGAATTTTTTTTCACATTTTTTTCCTTACTATACTATGACGTTTTTTGAAATTTTTTTGGCCTTACTATACTATGATGTTTTTATCACTTTTTATGCCTTACTATACTATGACGTTTTCATGCCTTACTATACTATCACATTTTCATCACTTTTTATTCCTCGCTATACTATGACATTTTTATCACTTTTCATGCCTTACTATACTATGACGTTTTCATGCCTTACTATACTATCACATTTTCATCACTTTTTATTCCTCGCTATACTATGACATTTTTATCACTTTTCATGCCTTACTATACTATGACGTTTTCATGCCTTACTATACTATCACATTTTCATCACTTTTTATTCCTCGCTATACTATGACATTTTTATCACTTTTCATGCCTTACTATACTATGACGTTTTCATGCCTTACTATACTATCACATTTTCATCACTTTTTATTCCTCGCTATACTATGACATTTTTATCACTTTTCATGCCTTACTATACTATGACGTTTTCATGCCTTACTATACTATCACATTTTCATCACTTTTTATTCCTCGCTATACTATGACATTTTTATCACTTTTCATGCCTTACTATACTATGACGTTTTCATGCCTTACTATACTATCACATTTTCATCACTTTTTATTCCTCGCTATACTATGACATTTTTATCACTTTTCATGCCTTACTATACTATGACGTTTTCATGCCTTACTATACTATCACATTTTCATCACTTTTTATTCCTCGCTATACTATGACATTTTTATCACTTTTCATGCCTTACTATACTATGACGTTTTCATGCCTTACTATACTATCACATTTTCATCACTTTTTATTCCTCGCTATACTATGACATTTTTATCACTTTTCATGCCTTACTATACTATGACGTTTTCATGCCTTACTATACTATCACATTTTCATCACTTTTTATTCCTCGCTATACTATGACATTTTTATCACTTTTCATGCCTTACTATACTATGACGTTTTCATGCCTTACTATACTATGACGTTATTATCACTTTTTATGCCTTACCATACTATGACATTTTTATCACTTTTTATGCCTTACTATACTATGACGTTTTTATGCCTTTTTATAACATGACATTTTTATCACTTTTTATGCCTTATTATACTATGACGTTTTTATCACTTTTCATGCCTTGCTATACTATGACATTTTTATCACTTTTTATGCTTTACTATACTATGACGTTTTTATGCCTTATCATACTATGACATTTTTATCACTTTTTATGCCTTACTATACTATGACGTTTTTATGCCTTTTTATAACATGACATTTTTATCACTTTTTATGCCTTGCTATACTATGACATTTTTATCACCTTTCATGCCTTACCATATTATGCCATTTTACCACTTTTTATGCCTTATTATACTATGACATTTTTATCACTTTTTATGCATTGCTATACTATGACATTTTTATTACTTTTTATGCCTTACTATACTATGATGTTTTTATCACTTTTTATGCCTTATTATACTATGACGTTTTTATGCCTTACTACTATGACGTTTTTATCACCTTTTATGCCTTGACGTTTTTATCACTTTTTATGCCTTATTGTACTATGACGTTTTTATGCCTTACTATACTAAGACGTTTTTATGCCTTACTAACTATGACATTTTTATCACTTTATTAGGCCTTACTATACTATGACATTTTCGTGCTTTCCTATACTATAATGTTTTTATCACTTTTTCTCCCTTACTATACAAGGTCTTTTTTGTGCCTTACTATACTATGTCTTTTTTATGATTTTTATACCTTACTATACTATGTCTTTTTAATGCCTTACTATACCATGTAGTTTTAAATGACTTTTTATGCCTTACTAAACTATGTCGTTTTTATGTCTTTTTTATGATTTTTATACCTTACTATACTATGTCTTTTTAATGCCTTACTATACTGTAATTTTTATGACTTTTTATGTCTTACTATACTATGTCGTTTTTATGCTTTTTATGCCTTACTATACTATTTCCTTGTGATTCTAACCAACCCAAAAACACAAGAAGCAGCACCCCTGTTCCTAAAAATATCCATTCTTGTTTTACCTGATATCAGTGCTGCCTTTGATACGGTTGACCATAAAATTCTGCTGGAGAGACTCGAGAAATTGGTGGGCTTATCTGGTCCTGTTCTAAAATGGTTCAATTCATATTTACATGACAAGAAGTCTTATGTTTCCATCAGCGACTTCTCTTCCAACAAAAAGGATGTTACATGTGGGGTTCCCCAGGGGTCAATTCTTGGACCATTACTGTTCAACCTGTACATGCTTCCACTTTCACATATCATCACTAACCATAACGTCAATTACCACAATTATGCAGACGATTCGCAACTCTACATTTCTCTATACCATGATGACTTATCTCCCATACAGTCCCTCACCCAATGTATCAGTGACATTAACAAATGGATGACAGAAAACTTCCTGCAGTTAAATAAAGACAAAACAGAAATACTAATCTTTGGTGCACAGACTCAAAGACTGAGAGTGGCTGAACACCTCAAGTCCCTCTCTCTGGAGAGCAAAACTGTTGCAAAAAATCTTGGCATAATCATGGATAACAATTTAAAGTTCAGGATTCATATCAACCACATCACAAAATCATCTTTCTACCATCTAAAAAATATATCTAAATTAATTTCTATCAAAACCTGACTCTGAAAAATTAATTCATGCATTCATAACCAGCAGATTAGATTACTGTAACAGCCTATTCACTGGCCTCACAAACACAAGCATTCGACAATTACAACTAATTCAAAATGCAGCAGCACGTATTCTCACTGGTACAAAAAAATATCAACACATCACACCCGTTCTTAAAACCCTGCACTGGTTACCCGTCAAAAAAAGAATAGATTTCAAAGTCCTCCTGTTAGTTTATAAAGCACTAAATGGTCTTGCACCTCAGTACCTAACAGACATGCTAATTACCTACACACCAGCAAGAACCCTCAGGTCCACAAACACTAGTACACTAGTCATTCCCCGCACCAAAACTCAGGAAGGGGAGGCTGCATTTTCTGTTTATGCCCCACACAGGTGGAACAGTTTGCCTGAGGCAGTAAAGACTGCCCCGTCAGTCAATCTTTTTAAAAATAGGTTAAAAACTTTTCTCTTCTCAACGGCATTTGATTGAGTGTGTGTGTGTGTGTGTGTGTGTGTGTGTGTGTGTGCTTGTCTACTCTGTGCTTTGTCTTGTTTGTTATTGTTTTGTTGTATGCTGTAAAGTGCATTGTGTCTGCCTTGTGCATGAAATGCGCTCTATAAATAAAGTTTGAATTGAATTGAATTGAATTAATGTGTCCAACAGTCTTTTTCTAAGGGTGAGAGGCACAATCAGAATTTTAAACCTAGCCCAGTCCCCAACAATCACTACCAGCATCTCAAACCATATTACACATTACACACAAATGTTCACAAAGGAGGTACAGAGTTGAGCTGCCTATCATGTCAGCCGCCACTAATGATGTGCTGGCCGGGTTCTTAAAGTCTCTTCCTCTGATGCTTAAACGGCTGCAGCTGTGGTGAGGACTTGCAGGATCATTGCTGCACCAATAGGAGAAGCCGTGGAGTCGGAGGCTCCTCATCTTTGTTCCAACAGGGAAAAGTAATCCATCAGTTAGTGTTAAAATGCCCGACCATTGTGCAGCAACAGGCTGTAATAACAAAAAAAACGCATCTGTCTTTTCTTTCCCAAAGGATGCAGAGAGGTAAGTCTAGACAGGGATAGATTTTAAAATTAGCTACTGTCACATTTCATACCATTGGTGCTGCCTGTAATACAGCATCTTCTGTATAGAGGATCTTTGACATGCACGGCCACCTACACTGGCTGCCTGACTGCAGCAGGCTCCTGGATACGCGGTACGAAGTCGCTGCTAACACAGTTAGCATTCATAATTCGAAGTAAACTTTATATCTCAGTGTTAAAATAATCTTGGTAGCTAATTGCATACATGTCCACATTTGGTAAATATCACATATATGAGGAGAAACCTTGTAATATTAGCTGAAGTTACTGTGTGTAAGCTAACTGTGTGGTGTAACCGCTTGTATTGGAACCATACTATGTCGCTTTTATGCCTTTTTATGCCTCAATATAATATTTATGACATTTTTATGACATTTCATGCATTTCTATACTGTGAGGTTTCTATGCCTTTTTATGTCATATTATAATGACTTTTTTTCTACTTTTTGAGCCTTACTATACTATGATATATTTGACATTTTAATGCCTTACTATACTATACTACGATTTTTTTTCCGTTCCATTATTTTGTTTATAATTTTGTTTATCAGTTTTAATGATGTTATATTGCTTATATACTGTATATATGTATATGCTTATCTTAATTTCCTTAAATAAAACACCATCTTTGATACAGATGGAAATAAAACTAAAATGAAATGAGATGAAGAATAAAACAAGATAAAATATTTAATTTGAATGAAATAAATGAAAATAAAAAAGGAAATAAAGAAGATACCACTTAAAACAGCTATATACAATATATAAATGACTATATATGGCATATGTTTTGCAATTTCAACATGACAACTAGTTCTTGTTGAAACGTCCTTGTTTTTATTAAATGAACAATATAAGATGTTTCTATGGTCGTTGCATAATAACACCGCCCTCTTGGTTTTGGTGCAGCACTCGTTTCAGTTGCAGGAGGATCTTGATCATGTTTCTTGGAGGCAGACATTATGCAATGTCATAACACAGCGGTGATTGTTCCCCTGCACATCGTGGAGTGTCCCGCTGGAGCAACAGGAAAACATCCCCCTCCTCCTCCTCCTGCAGGGTCACAGCAGCCCCCAGCCCGGGCTTTAAAACCAAGCTGCAGCCAGATCTCATAGCACCTCCTCCTCCTCCTCCGTCCTCTTCCTCTTCCACCCTCCCACCTCTACCCGTCCTCCTCCCCTCCCTCCGTCCTCTTCAGCCGAGGAGCGTCACCGTCGGTCTCCTGGATGCGTCCAGCCGGATCTCGCCCTCCTTGCTCACTGTGATTTATTCTGCGCTGTTTGGAGGTAAGAACGGCTTCTTTCCTCCTAAATAATGACTGAGAATATAGCCATCAGATCCCGTGTTTTTGCCGTGTTCAACCCAGGATTTACTGGCTGTATTTTTATCGTGTGGCTGCAGACGCACTTGTCTCCTCTCCCTCCCCTTTCATCCGCGTAATTAAGCCACAGATACCGAAGGCCACATGAGCAGCGGCGCGTTAAGGTGCTGTTTTAACATCGAAGGATCATTTCAGACCTGCTCTTCGTCATGTCTCTGATAAAACCATCATCATCATCATCATCATCATCATCATCTGTTTATCTCAGGCCTGTGCTCCCAGGACACATCCCCACAGCTTCTGCCTGGATCATAATTACAGAACACACAGTTTTATTCTGAGCAAATACACAGATATGATGCCTTTAGGTCAATTATAGGCTCAAATTACCATTGTTTTCATTATTATAATGCTTTCTTGTATTATTTGGTCTAAAGATGGCTGTATTTATTACCCAGAACCCACAGGGTGATGTCTTTACATTGAATTTTCTCAACCACCAGTTACAACCAGAAGATAATCAGTTTACACTGATGTAAAACAGAGGAAAGCCACAAATCCTCATATTTAAAGAGAAGGAGCCAGAACACGTTTGGGTGTCAGTCATTTCGTTAAACTGTCAGAAAACAGAGATAACATCTTCAAATGTCTTTTTTTGTCTGAACAGTCCAAAATGCATCAAGTATAAACTAATAAAACAGTAAAAATAAACAGCAAATATTCACATTTGAGAAGCTGGAACCAGTGAAGTATTTTATTTAATACCTGTTAATCAATTATCAAAAATAGCTGCCAATTTATCTTCTATCGATCATTTAATCTAGTCCATTCCTCAAACACAACACCACTGAGAAATACTTTTCCTACTAAAATATTATATATTATTTAAACATCTGTAAAAAAAAAAAACTGTAATAGATCTTTCAAATATATACAGTATATATATATATATATATATATATATATATNATATAGTATATATATATATATATATATATATACTGTGATTTCTGTGGCTTATACACATGGTGTGGCCTGTAGCTTCCTCCTACTGCTCCTGCTCATACGCTGACTTTAAGTGTGATGATCTAAAACTAAACTAAACTAAAGTCATTATAGAGCTGAAATGATAAATTGATAATTGATTAATGATTGAAACCATTTGTCAGATATTTGCTGGGTTCTCTAAATGTTTCCTCAGGAAAAACTGAACATCTTCTGGAGGTTTTCACTGTTTTCTGACATTTTAGACTGAACAAATAATCACTTAATTATAAAACTGTTCAATAACTACAAACAGAAATGAAGGTAATTAGTTGCAGCCTTAATAACAACAAGTCTTTATGTTGCTGTGATGCTGCACAAAAAACCTCCTGTACGATTTTGTACATTTACTCAATCACTTGTAAGGTGTGTTTTAACCGTGTGTGTGTGTGTGTTAGGACTAATGGACCATACACACACACATACACACACACACACACACACACTGAGCTCAGCTCCATTGATGTGCTCTCTGGCAGTAAAAGCTCTTAGTGATAAGACTCTCGGACACAGAGAGCACTCAGACTGCTGCCGGTCACATGGATGGATCATTCCTCAGAGACTCTGAAGCAGTAACCGAGTACATTTACTCAAGTACTATGCTGAACTACAACACTGAATACTTCCATTTTATTCTACTTTATTTTAGAAGGAATATTGTACTTTTTACTGCTCTACATTTATCTGACAGATCCAGTCACTGTACAGATAAATATTTTGCAGACCAACCTGTGATGCATCAGTAAAATGATGACCTAAGAGGCCTCCTGCATCGATGTGGAGTCAATTCACTGATATATAGTGGCATCTCCTTAAAAGAAGTCATGTGGATATTGAATCCAATGGTAAATGTAACAGGGAGCCAGTGCAATGAGGCCGTAACTGAGCTGCTGCATCTTCAGTTAAACAGGAATACAGGACGTTACAACAGTGGATATGAGAGGAGACTAAGCAGTGGGCGATTTTTTCCAGCTGCTGGAACAATAAGAAAGGATGTAGTTTAACACGACTGGAAACTGACTTAATACGTCCAAACCAGGAGTGAAAGATGAGCACAAGGTTTATGGGAGCCAGGGATCGTCAGCGGTGGTGAGAAATTTCATGGGTGTGATCAAAGATAAACTTTGGTTTTCAGCTGCAAGAAACTGAAACATCCACTAATACAATTATGCAAAGGAGACACAGACAGACATCTGTATGATGTGTCCTAAAGGGAGGGAGCATATGGAGGCAGAAAAACACGGGACCCAGAATCAAATCTTGAGGAACTCCACAGCCGAAGATGCGTCCACACTACTATGTTTTCGTTTTAAAAAGCATCTCGTTTGTTTTCAATCACCAACAACAGAAACTCAGCTGGACCTGTTTTATTTTTGAAAACTATGGGGTTGAGTTTTATTTTGAAAACTGTGTTAGTTTGGATGGAGATCGAGTTCATTTGAAAACACCATTTTAAAATGAAAACGTAGTCGTGGTGACGTCGCCCTAGTCCCGGTCTTTTATCTCCACCCAGTTCCCAGAGCTTTCACCACCTCTCAGGACAAACGGTGAACTGTGAGGCAAAAACGGAGGAAGCTATCGTAGCATATTAGCTGTGAGCCACCATCCAGTTTTAGCATAAAGTCTGGAAACAGGGAAACAGCCTGGTTTGTCCAAAGGAAACAAAACCCACCTGACAGCACTAACAGGGTTAAATCTGCTAGCTTTACAGAAGCTGGCGGGTGGATGTTGTTACCTTGCACAGAGCTAGGCTAGCTGTTAGCTTCCTGTTTCCAGTCTTTATGCTGAGGTAAGCTAACCAGCTACTGGTTGTACTGGTGTTTAAGATATTTAGGCATCTGTATCCAGAGGAAAACATCTGTCAGTCCCGTCCAGATGATGAAAGCTGCTTCAGAAGATCAGGTTCAGCTGAGGACAAAGATCCTCTCTCACTGATCTGGTGTCATTTTTTTTGCAGGGGTGGGGGGGTGGGGGGTGGGGGGCTCTGATGACATTTGATGGTGAGAAATAGATGAACGAGGGAGAGACAGAGGGTGAAGCTCTCCCGCCTGTGTTCAGTTGATTCTCTGGAGGGAGGAGTGTAACCACAGCAATAACTGACGAGGACCTGCTGGGCGTTGGCCCGGCTGGGCGAGCTGATAAACAGGAGAGGGGAGGGAGGGAGGGGGAGGAAGACGAAGGGCGGGATGGAGATGGAGATGGAGGAGGAAGGGAGGGTGAAGCAGATGAAAGAGAAGTCACGACTTGAGGAGGAGGGGTCACAGGAAACGGGGATCTTTCGGCGGGAGATATCCTTAGCAGAGGCTCTCATGTTGTTTAGGTACAAGGTGTGTTTCCTGTGAGCAGGACTACAGCCAGTCCCCCCCCCTCCACCTCCTCCTCCACCTCCACCTCCTCCTCCACCTCCACCATCCGTCCCCTGAGGAGGCTCTGATATCAGCCAGGACTAAATCTGATTCTCAGTGTTGTTTTACACACAGTCTCCTTGTCCCCGTCATCCAGCCTCACCCCCCCGAGGGACGAGCTGCGTCTGAGTCTCTAACAGAATCATTTGTTCCGAGCAAAAACTCTTTTTTTATCTCTTTACAACCAAACACTGAAAAATTAATATAATTTGGTAATTAACTGAAGAAACATCCAGTGGGGGAAAGTAAGGAAGTACATTTAGTCCTTCAGTACAGTACTGAGGTACTTGTGCTTCACTAGAGTATTTCCATTTTGTGCTACGTCATATTTCTACTCCACAAAATGTGAGAGGGAAGGATTTGACTTCTTACTGCTCTACATTTACCGGACACCTTTATCTTTAGAGAACACGTGTTAATTTTAAAAATTACACTGTTAAAGATTAAGATAATAATCCCCGTCGTTTTGTCAAAATAGGTTTCTGACACACAGCGGTGTGGAGGATCAAAGACTGCATCCAGACGAGGGACCGATCATCCCTGGCTAGAAAACTTTCTATTGAACTTCTGCCTTTTCACAGCGTAAACAGAAACCTGTCTAACTCTGACGCTGCCCCCACTGTTCATGTGTTCACTTGCATCTCATGGACGCGTAGCATTAATGTCTGAGGACGTGCACAACCAACGCTCACAAGGAACGCAGCACACGTGAAATAACCACGATGTTTTCTGTCATTGGTCAGACGTCTCTGAGTTTATCTTTGCGGCATCGTAATGATCTCTTTCAGTGATGTAACGTTTCCTGGTGAAAAAGGCGAAAAAACACCAGTTTTTCATGATTATACAAACCCTGAATTTAATACCTGTTCTGGAGCTTTCGATCATATGACATGACCGACCTCAGCAGATGGAGTTTTAAATCTGAACGTCTAAATCTTCTTGTCTTAATCCATAAAGTCACGCAAACAGATTTTTTTGCAGCAGACATTTTGTCATGTCAGAGCATGAGAAGCACAGATGTTACTAACAACATTAATAATGGCTGCATCCCATTTAGTTTGCCAGCTCCAGGGCTCTGGTCCACTGGGACTCTTAAATGGACCAGAGTCACCATTAATGTTGTCAGTTCCACATGTGCTTTTCATGCTATGACCATGGATGTAGTGATGGACAGGTGTACTGGGCACAGGCTCAGGGGCCCAGGGGGTCAAGGGGCCCCTGGAGACACAAAACAACAACAAAGATAAGTTAAAATGTCTTCTGTTAAAAAGGCTTATTTAAGATATAGAACAGTTTGTATGTTCATCATATTTCTATTGAGATAAACTGCAGCAGGAATGAAACGTTATTACTCCAGATCGAGATGAGTCATTCCCGTCTCATTCATAAGATGCTGAGCCGTGAGATCAGATACTCTATAATGGCAAATGCATTTGCTGATTGTCTCTCTTCTTGTGTCTCTCCAGCTGGTTAAAACCAAACAGAGGAAGGTTTCTCTCCAGCCATGCAGAAGGTAATCCATCATCCCACTGGCCTTTAGAAATGACAGTTGGAGGAAATAAAAAGTGCACACATTCATGGCAAAAGTTGAATCTACACACGGCTCTCTGCTCCAACAATGATGTAGTTTTGTCCCTCGTTTCTATTAGTGATGATAAAGTTGTTCTCATCAGGGTAATAGCTGAGAATTAAAGTCCAGAGGAGCCAAAGTCATGAGCAGCGAGACGATGAGACAGATTGGAAACAAACCAAAGTCAAACCAAAGTGTCCAAGTGCAGACCTCATGTCTGGAGACGACCGTTCTGTAAACCAATGGCAAAACAGTTGAGTCACACCCAGTTCATCACCTCCACAGAGTTTCAAATCACATTCATTCACTTCAGTTTGGATGAGCATGAAACTGTCCTGCTGGAATCATTCGAGTCCAAAAGATGAAAAACTGTTAGAAAAGCTCTGGTTCAAGAAGCCCATGGACATGAACACTGCTCTGTTAGCGACCTTTGCTCCCTACAGACTTTAACCACGTCTGACATCGTTCACAGTTTCTCTGCTCGGGACTTTAAGAAGTGTAAATTTAATGTTATTTGTCAAAAGCTGCCAAATATTCTTTATTTTAAAGCAAGCTAACGCTAATTTAGCTAAATAAATACAACCTGGTTGATGCTACAAGCTAACATACTAGACCAGAAACCGGTTATATCCTCTGGTGTGAACCTGAACACAAACCTGTTTAAGGTGTGGTCCATGTCAGTGAATTACATCTGCTTTCAAAACAAATACAAGAAACAGAAAAATGAAAAATGTTTGTGAAGTATCTTTAACTCCATCCCACTCAGGATGTAGAAGTTATGATACTGTAACACCAAACTGATCTTTAATGGCATGTTAGCTTAAACATTAGCATGAATTTGAACCTCTCAGAACATGAACATAAAATAGAAAAATAAAAATATTTCCATTTTTTTTGAGAGGTAAAAGCATCATAACTTTAATGGAAAACAAAATATCATCATATACCGCAAGCTAATGCTTAACAGCACGTTAGCTTACTGAGGTTAAACATTAGCATTAAGTTGAACCCTAGTCCTGTTATTTTTCACAACTTGCTAATGCTAAAATGCTAATATTAATAAAAAAGACTGAAGATGAATTCAACATGTAGAACTTGTACATTCAAATTTCTGTGTGGCTTTGTTACAGACTGGATTTTATTTCACTTAGCATAGCAGCACTTCCTGTTTGAAGCTACTGTAAAAAAAGTTAAATTAGCTGGTAAAGTAAATCTGTTTGTTTCCTGTGCTCTTGTGCATAAAGAGGAGTGTGTCACACTGTGATGATGGTTTGGTAATATTGTCACTGGGTTAGTTTTCTCTATAAATCATTTAATTCTATTGTCGTGTCTGTGTTTCCAGATCAGGCTGAGTGCATTGCTTTTATTATTAATATAAATTATGGATAAAACTATGAAAATAAAACCTGAGTTGTGATAAACTGGAATGATTTCACCTCCTAAATGTTTCTGTTGGCGTCAGGTGGAAGGACGGGTAACTCCGGTCAACCTGCCTTCTTCCAGGGGCCCGAGCGCCCCGGGGTCTCCTGCCACGGGCATCATGGTAAACTTGTACCTGCTCAAACACACCTGTAGTATCAGTCTGTGCACACATACACACATTAACCTGCTATCTGTGTGTGTTTGTGTGCGTGTGTGCGTGCGCGTGTGCGTGTGTGTGCGTGTGTGTGTGTGTTTGTGTGTGTGTGTGTGTTTGTGTGCGTGTGTGCGTGCGCGTGTGCGTGTGTGTGCGTGCGTGTGTGTGTGTGTGTGTGTGTGTTTGTGTGTGTGTGTGTGTTTGTGTGCGTGTGTGCGTGCGCGTGTGCGTGTGTGTGCGTGCGTGTGTGTGTGTGTGTGTGGGTGCGTGTCTGTGTGTGTGTGTGTGTGTGTGTGTGTGTGTGTGGTGCTCAGGCCCGAGTGAACGACCAGGTGGTGGGCTACAGAGACCTGGCAGCTCTGCCCAGAGATAAAGCCATCCTGCAGGTGGNCGTGTGTGTGTGTGTGTGTGTGTGTGTGTGTGTGTGTGTGTGTGTGTGTGCGTGTGTGTGCGTGTGTGTGTGTGTGTGTGTGTGGTGCTCAGGCCCGAGTGAACGACCAGGTGGTGGGCTACAGAGACCTGGCAGCTCTGCCCAGAGATAAAGCCATCCTGCAGGTGGAGAGACCAGACCTGATGACCTACCAACCACACCTGACCTTCTCCCCGCTCGACCCGCCGCGCAGAGAGGTACACACACACACACACACACACACACACACACAGATAGCAGGTTAATGTGTGTGTGTGTGTACAGACTGATACTACAGGTGTGTTTGAGCAGGTAAGTTTACCAGGAGACCCTGCCAAGGCACCAAAGGCAGGTTGTGACAACTTTATGTTTTAGACATTATGTAGATTGTGCGGTAAAATAATCAGCCTGGAAAGGTTTAAAATGAAGACATTACACCCTCTCTAACTCCTTTTGTCTCAACCTCATTATTTCTGTAGTTACTGTAGTAACAGTATTAAGTCGTATTTTGAGTGTGTTATAATGTCGGCCTTGTGTTTCTGTGACCTGCAGCGATCTCTCTCTCCTCCCTCCACATCTCCCACCATGTCTCCTGAGGTAAGACTCTCACTCACCTGTCATGGAGCAGATAATGCAGGTACATCAGCCTCACACCTGTAACACAGCACAGTTAATAAGAGACAGAATACAACATTTGTTCAGTGCATTATGACATTTTTGCACCGTTTTTTCCTCAATTTTTTTATGCAACATTTTCTTGGTAAATACTCTGGAGAGCCAGCGTGAGGACCTACAGATGGCTTTCCATCATCACACCTCTCGTGCACAGAACAGTAACAGTGGAGTTTGTCGTGTCACATGAATCGTCTCCACGTCTTCGGGTCGTGTGGAAAGATTCAAATGTTTTGGGAGAATATTTGTTGGTTATATGTGTTTGGGATACTGGTCTGATAAATGATTCTGTAAAAGCTGGAAACTCGGGTGATGAAGACCTTCACTGCAAACTGTGACACTATAAAACCTGGATCTGGGTCAAGTCCCAGAGAAGTATTTAAGTTACTGAATAAGAAATGCGTGAATTTGTTTTTACTTTTCTTCCGTTCAATGTCTCCAAAGTTCAAACAAAACAAGCGACAAAAAAGGGAGTTATTTGTTAAAAAGCAAAAGTTATTTGTTTCCTGTGAAAAACGAAGAACTAAAACTCTTACGTTTGAACAATAGTTGGACAAAGTAAATGGAAAATACAATATTATATAACTTCAAATACAGTTTGATTATCATCCTTTTCCTCACGTTCACTTATTAAACATTTCTATAACCTGAGCTTGAAGATTCATTCTTCACCATGTCCCCTTACTCTGTGTCATCAAAGCTTTCAGCCACATTTCATGGTCTTCCTCAGTTTGGTTGTCGACTACAGTTGGAGCTAGTGGACGTTTATCACATAAGTGAAACTCCACCCTCAGGGAGCTTGATAACAACTAAACCGTCTCCATGACAACTGAGCAAACTCCACCTGCTGATGAAGACCATTAGATGTGGATGAAACAACGAGTACTTGAATTCAATTTATAGATTCCACGTTATTTAAAATGATATTTACTGAAGACAAAAGCTGGAATAAAGAATAAATCATTTAGAATTCCAAGCTGAGAGGAGACGAACCCTCGGTGACCTCTCATGTCTCACTGCCGGGTCACGACCCAGACATTAAGGACAAACAGTGGTTGGACTGATGTCCTCATCCTCTCGTCTCTCTGCTTTGTCTCCTCCGTGTTAGAAATGTGACATTTAATGACTGGAGTTTTCCTGCAGCGCTGGGAACAGAGAGCGTCTCTGTGGCGGCGGCTGTGACCTCACTGATGATCTCCATCAGTCATGAATGAGCTTCAGTCCTGTGAAGTCAAATCTAATTATACTCCAGGGACAGAAGGGAAAAACTGCTGAGACTCAGAGTCACTGTCAGTTTCAGTTTCAGTCTGAATCTGTGTTTACCGCTCACAGCGCCACCTGCTGGGCCGACCGTTTACAGACCAGAATCTCATCCTGTCAGTGCCGCTTTTCAAAAGAAAAGCCTGTGTGTCAAAATAATCCAGCTGCCATCAAAGCAGTCCGTCATCCTGGACAGACGACGGAGAGAACTATTAAAACCTGTATCCAACATAGTTTATAAGATCAATCTGCCCAGCATCATCCTCATCCTCATCATCATTATCATCCTCATCCTCATCATCATCCTAATCATCATCCTCATCATCATCCTCATCCTCATCCTCATCCTCATCATCATCTGTGTGTGTTTGTGTGTCAGGTGAAGGGACGCAGAGCAGAGAGTGACAGTGGTTCTCCTGGAGGATCAACGCTGCAGCTCAACGCTGGACGCAAGATCAGCACCAGCCTGCAGCATTTCCACAGACCAGGTCTCTCACACACACACACACACACACACACACACACACACACACACACACACACACACCTCAGATGAAACTACGTCCCTGTTTGTCACATTAGAAACAGGCTGCAAATCTGTTCTTTTCTTGTCTTGGAATTAAAATAGATAATAATAGTAAAAAAGATCAATAATATTGATATATTAAGTTTTACATGAGACAGTTCAACCAGACATGATGTGATTCTCAGTCAGTCGAATGTTTTAACTTTGAATTTAATTTTTACAAGGACTTTATTTAAAGGCCAGTTTTTATTTTAACATCGTCTCCCAAAAACACTCAGTTTCATTATAAGAGTGTTTTGTTTTATGGAGCCCGGATCTGATCCACGAATAATTTAATCATATGAATCAATAGATTAATGAAGTGATACATTTTTTAAAAGCTATTAGTTGATGAGTTAAATTACATTTAAATTTATTTAAAATTTTAATGATGCATTAATAAACTCAAAGTAAGAAAAGACAAAAAAACAATTAAAAGGTCATTAAATTTTTCAGTTAATTAATTCTATTTCCTTAATTTTGCAGTTCCATTAAAAAATTCAACTATGAATTCACTATTAATATAGATCATAAACATATAATTAACACAGCGAATGATATTTTTTATTATGATTAATGCATCATTTAAATGCAAATTTAATTAATCAGTTTATTTAATTGTAGTTTAACTGATTATAAATAAACTAATACAAGTTAATGAGTATAATGAAAATTATTTGTCATTGTAGTTTTAATTTCAATTCTAATGTTATTAATTTTATATTTTTGGTATAGATATTATACGTCATCTTCACATGTGGTTAATTGATTTTATGTTAATACTGTCACTCCTGGACTTCCAAACTCTGACACCTGAGAAATATTTTTTCAGATAATGGAACCAACATCTACAGGAAACCTCCCAACTACAAACAGGGTGAGCTCTTATTCTTGTTTATCAGTGTCTTTATGCGTTTTCTGCTCCGTCCTCACTGACTTCCTGTGTTTACTGTGTCTCTGCAGATGGTAAACATGTGGAGGGCAGCGGAGTCATCCAGTCCGCAAAGTTTCCTGCAGCTCAGCCTCCGGATCCCAACCAGCCCTCCAAGATAGAGACGGAGTACTGGCCCTGCCCCCCCTCGCTGGCAGCCATGGGTAACACACACACACACACACACACACACACACACACACACAGATCCATGTAAACACACAGAGTGAGGCTGAGGTTATGTCCACACTACTATGTTTTTGCCTCTGTCCACACGACTTGTTGTATTTTGAAAACTCTGGGGTTGTGTTTTATTTTGAAAACTCTGGGGTTGTGTATTATTTTGAAAAATCTGGGGTTGTGTTTTATTTTGAAAACTCTGGGGTTGTGTTGTAGTCTGGACAGAAAGTGAGACGTTTGTAATCGATGAGGTCACACTCATGGTCTCCCCTGATTGGCTCTCATCAGCCTGGACTACCAGTGGTGAATACAACATGATAATGAATGACAGAGTTACTGACCTTGTTGTCTTTGCAGCTGTTGTTCACTTACATTCTGTTTTAATGCTACAACTGCAGAGGAGACAATCTACTTCCTGTATACACCAGCTTGCATATGCCCAGTGTAGTGAATGCACATGTATGAGTTTTCAGGTGTGACAGTCTGGACGGATATCGTTTGAAAATGGCGTTTTAAAAAGAAATGGTAGCAGTGTGGACGTAGCCTGAGTTCGGTGACAGATCTAACTTTAAACGTGAACTCTCGCAGAGATCGAGTGGAGGAAGAAGAAGGAGCTGCCGGAGGAAGATGAGTTTGAGGACCTGACAGAAGAGGCCAAGACGCTGCAGGAGCAGGAGCTGGAGAAGGTCAGTTACTCGAGATGAATAAAGGTTATGACCTACCTGTCTGACACCTGTAACACCTGAGCTCCCTGCGTCTGTGTCCAGATCAAGTCCAACCTGGGCCGTCTGATCCTGAAGGAGGAGAAAGAGAAAGCCGTTTATCGGAGGAAGACACAGTCGCTGCCCGACAGAACACACATGCACACCAGTGAGAAACACTGACCGTCTGAGGCTTTATCTGCGTTTAGTTCCTGGTTCAGGATGAATCGACGCTCACTGAGATTACCTGTGTTTCTGTGTTTTACCTGCAGGTTTGTCAGCGAGTGCATCAAAGTCTCCTTCACGTTCAGGCTCAGGCTTGACCAGAGTGAGTGTTTGTGTCTGCAGCTGCAGACTGTGAGACTGGGTCTACACAGGAGGAATATTTAATAACTAGGCCAGCGCACTGAAAGGAAAAACATTATTATCACAGTTCACATGTGGCGTCGCCTCAATAATAAAATGTAAAGTCAACACTGAAACAGCTGAGGAGTGTCTCATTGCACTCACTTTATTTTATATTATTATCTGGATATCACAAATTAATTATTACATGATATCAGGATTAAATTAACAAACAAAACAAACCAAATAATAAGATAATCATAAAGATAATTATTATTATTATTATTAATAAAATTATTGTTATCTTGGAAAAACAGGATAATTATCGTATTATCTCAAAAAAAAAAACGTTATTTTTAATGACTTTTTATCCTGAGATTATGTGATAATTAACTGATATAAATATAAAACAGTATAAAATAAAATGAGTGCAACAGCTCCCGTACAGAGCTAATATCACAGGGTTGTAATGTGTAATACCCACGTAGGCCACAAGGGGCTGTGAAATATTTTTTTTTCCTTGTGGCTAAAATGAGTATTACTTCTTGTACTTGCGTCTCAGAGCTTCCGTATGTCGCCATTTACAATTCCAGAAACAAAATGAACCTTTTAAAGTGAATTTAGTTTTTCAGTGTAAAACGTGTAACCAGGTGTTTGGTGTTTGCAGATGCAGTCTGCAGAGTTCTCCACAGACGGAGACAAAGGACCATCAGGTAGGATTCATGTTCAGTTTTATACAATGAAACGGAGGAAAGAGCTCATCTGTTGGGGACTATTTTAATGTTGATGCTGGTGGAGGAACACGTCGCAGTGCGGCTCACTCATGTGTTTTTTATTCCCTGTCCTCGCCGTCTCTCCTTCCTGTCGTTGTGTTTTGGCAGCTGCTCAGGTGAGTGTGTGTCGCCTCCTCAGACATGAACTGTGTGTGTGCTGCAACTGAACAGCTGCAGGTGTGAACTGACTCCTGCATGAGCTTCTGCACAGTCCTGAACACAGTGTGTGTGAGCAGATGCATGTGTGTGTGTGTTTGTGTCACCATGCATTTTCTCTTTGGCTTGCCGTCCCTGTGCTGCGTTTGTGTTCTCCAGGTTTTACGTTGTTGTGTGTAATTTTTGTTGCGTTTGTTCTGCTGTAGAACGGAGAAGCTCGCAGGGAGAGGATGGACAGAGGAAACTCTCTGCCGAGCATCCTGGAGCAGAAGGTGAGAGCTGCCAACGCTTTCTAACAACACAGAATCAGTGGAGGATTTATTGTTTGTATAATCATTTATACAGGAGAAAGGTTTGAAGAGTATAATTTGTTCAAAATAAACCAACATGATGTGATTATTGTGAACTGAACCAGGTGGAAATTAAAATTTATTTTCTTCTCCACTGAACCTCGTTGAGAAAGTTCATGTTCCAGACGTAGATCTGATGAGATTTTGAGGTCGGAGCTTTAATTAAAAACATTTTTATACAGTTTTTTTTGCATTTTCTGCAAATGTTTCTGAAGCATGAAACAGGAGGAAAGAAACAACTTTAAAAAGAAACTTTATGATCTGATATTTATTTATCAGTGTTTTCTCTGAAGCATAAATGTAGATGTTTTTAAATGTGTATATTGTTTATGGTTGTTTGTGTATTTATTATATATTAACACATCGTGTTGTTAGATGCTGCAGATATAAATTTCTGGGGTCACAGTTAATGGTTCAGTCATTTTGTCATTAACATGACAATGACAATATTATCTGATAATAATTATAATAATAGCTCCTGACCATGGACGTCACAGTTCACGTCTCTCTGCTGCTCAGGTCTATCCCTATGAAGCGCTGGTTGTGACCCACAGAGGGCGCTGTAAGCTGCCGCCAGGAGTGGACCGCACTCGACTGGAGGTGTGTATCACAGTGTGTGTGTGTGTGTGTGTGTGTGTGTGTGTGTGTGTGTGTGCAGGCGTGTTGGATCAGTGGTTAAGGTCTGCAGTGAACTAGTTTCACTAGTGATGTGTGAAGCGGTTTAACGAGACCCGTTCGGACCCTGAACCAAGAAATCCTCGGAAAATCAATCCTGCACCTGAAGATGTTTCTATTTTCTACTGCTGTCAGAGAGTGTAGAAAAACAGCGACATCTCACTCTGAGTCCGGCTCTGAAATCTGCTTTTAGTCCTCTGATAAAAACTGACCCTGATTCTCCTTCTTCTTCTCCTCTCCCAGAGACACCTGGATCCCGAGCAGTTCGAGCAGGTGTTCGGGATGCCGATGGCCGAGTTCGACCGCCTCTCTTTATGGAAACGAAATGAACTGAAGAAGAAAGCCTCACTTTTCTAACAGGAAGTGACATCGTCCCCGACTAATACTTGACGAAGCACCTGCTTTGAAAGGAGGAGGAGGAGGAGGAGGAGAGAAGCCAGGCCATAACGTCAGATATCCAGCCCTTCATCACGTCCATTCACACCAACACGCCCTCCATCTAACTAACCAATCACGTCCCTGGATGTGAGCCGGCCCCCGAGGATCAGACAGAGTGTTTACTGAAGGCTGGTCCTGATTAACCCTTTACTCTGGCTAACCTTAACGATGCACTGACACTCACATATTACCTGTGCTGCACTTATACTCACTGCTCGCAAATCATCCTCATTACCTGTCTACATCAAACACCACCGCCACCATCCTCATCATCATCCTCACCATCATCATCATCATCATCATCACCATTATACTTGTGCATTGTCTCTGCAGAGGTCTGTATCATGAGGGGAGGTTAGCATGTTAGCAGGTTAGCAGCTCTCTTTGGGTTTAACTCAGGTGTTCTGGACTCATGAAGCTGGTTCACCTGTCAGAAACAACTACTGACCAATCAGATCGCTGGAAAATCATTTCTACAGGATCCTGACAGGGACAAAAGCACTGAGTTTATAATAAAGTCACAAGAAATAAAGAACGAGTGACATTTTTAAAATGATCAGAACAATCACTTCTACTCCAGCCTGATTTAAGATTTCTGACGGTGTCAGTTGCTTTAAATCTTTGTAACTGACTTCATGTGAACCCACATTAAATGCAAGATGCTAATGCTAATGTAGCATCCATCTGTTTAGTCCACACTGACTGACAGCTGATATTTACTGGACCAAAACAAGTTTTCATGTCGACTCAGCAGGAAGAAATCAGCTGTTTTTATCTGTTTATCTGCCGATAGTCAGAATCAGAAAACTCACATCCAGATCGATCATTAATCAGATATTTACACAACAAAACAGAAACCACTCCGTGACTCTGTGACGCTGCCCCCTCTGGTCATGTGCTGAATAGCATCCTGCGTAGCATTAAAGGGGTGTTTGTAGGTTTTCTCTGCCACTGAACGTGGTTTCTTGCCGGGAGCGAGTGGCTGTGGAGCTTCAGCCATTGTTGCGTTTACAAGACGAGACGCTCCAAAGGAACGCAGGACAGACAGGCCAGGGCTAGCTAGTTAGCATGCTAACTTCAGGAGAAGAAAAGACATGACAGAGACAAGAGTCAACATCGGTGTTTGTTTCCACCTCTGGAGACAGATGTTGGTGAGTAAAGGATTGAAGTTCTTCTAGACTGGCAAATAAACAGCTGCTAACGCTAACATTAGCTTTGTAGCAATGGCAAAAACTCTCATATTTCCTCCGAGTGTTTCTACGGCGTCTTATTCTGTGATTATGTTGTTTATATTTCACGAGGCTGTAAATCTCTTTTTATGGTCTAAATCATTAATGGAGGTGACCTGAGGACCGGACCAGTTCAGAACCAGCTTCATGAGACCAGTTATCAGGATGAAAACCAGGAGTCCTAACAGAACCAGACCCAGTTAAACTCTCCTCAGGGTCCAGGCCTCTGACGTGTGTCTGACTTGAAGGACAGCAGCTGCTGTCACATAATAAACATGTAACAGATAATAAATCTATTTATTACGTGAAGCTTTTAATTTATTTGATGATTGTAATTTTTACTGCCACGACTTCGTCAGCTGCTGTGAACAGTTTTTTCATTTCTGCTGTACAGTTGTTTTTTTTTAATTTAACGAGCACTCGCCGTCGACTTCAGTCCTCGCTTTAACTCGCCGCCAAAATCTTCCCGCCAATTTCACCATCCAGACATTTTAAAGGAGTAGTCCGCACTTATCAACATGGTAGCGTCTGTATTGGATCGTGTCTTGAGGTAGAAACGTCTCTGCCGTCGTCTCCGTGCTCGCTGTGCGGTCTTCATGCTTTCTTCCGGTCACACCTTCCCGTCCTCTTTGTTTCTGTTGTACGATGTGAGGGAGTCAAATAAAGCCGAGAAAAACGTTCAACATCTGGTGGTTTTATTGTCTCTGTTTTATATCTGATACTTATTTCTCTGCAGTTTGAAGTTTTAGACTAAATGAATAGTTTTAAAGCATCAGTTCAGTTAGTGGTTTAAAGTCCATGCAGTTTTCATTACAGGAACTACTTTCTACCAAAGAAATAGTCCCTGTAAAAACTGTGGACTGGGTTTCTGTAGATTATCCAGACTAACATCATGTTCTAGAAACAAAACATTTCTTTAAGGCTGCACTGATCAATATTCCTTTAATATTACTAATGGATGTATCAATGTGTGAATATGTAAACACTTTCACAACTATATAATCTTCCATGTGGCCCAAAGAAAATCAGTTAATGCAGCTTTAAACGTGACTTTAAACCTGCCATGCACACGTATCTTTGTGAGTAATAATCTTATTATTTATTTTTACCTTCTGCAACATTTGATGTTTAATGTGAAGCATAAAAATTATTTGTTTATTTAACAATTGTTTGACATCAAGGTTTGGCTTCATGAAAATTATATTAGTCTATGTATTCATTAACAATGTTATGTTTGTTAAAAATACTGCATAGGACTGATACTGTGTGTGTGTATATATATATATATATCTCAGAGCCTCCTCTCGTCTGATTGGCTCACAGACCTGTTGTCACTGGAGCTGCAGAGAGAGAGAGGAGATGTGAAACTACACTGAGGTGGTTTTTATATCTTCTGATGGATCAACAGAAAACATTAGTGCTGTCTGGTTTAATGGTGTTTAACATTTCTCTGACTGACATTTCCTGGCTGGTGTATTCATCAGCAGCTGACTGTGGTTTTGTTTTCATCACATTAAACATGATAAGAGGAACATCTGTATCTGCAGCTGTAGATTTAAACCTCCACGGATCCGTCGTGGATCTAAATATAAATCCTGATATTTTCCATCTTTACTATAAAACCGACATGTATTCTCTTTCTGCTCATTTGTTGCTACAGATTTTCACCCCTCCCCCCTCCTGAGAGTTTTTCACACCTATTGTGGCGAGAGATTCAAAACCCCCCCCCCCTGTATTTTTATTATCATTAACCTTTTGTGTCAAACTTGAGCTGCGGACACTCGAGCCGAGCGAGCTGCAGGTAATAACGTGGAGGGTCTGTGTTGCTAAGAAACATATGGGCCTACACATAAAAGCGAGGAGCTGGCCACGTTTCAATGCCACTCGTCTCTGCCGCCGCACAAAGCAGCACATCCCACGCCGGCCTTTGATTGGCAGCCGCTCGGCGTCCTTGAGCGCTGAGAGCAGCAGCAGCATTCAACACACACAAGCAGCCGTACTTTTCTGTTTTTTATTTGAATGGAGTGAAACATCTACATAAATGAGAGGCCTCGCAATACATGTACTCGACAAAAAAAGTTCTCGTTTTTCTTTTTTTTCAAATTTAGCTGTAAAGAAAAAAAGATCTAGATTTAATCTTATTTTAAACGGTTTCTGTACATTCTGTGAGATATGTTCTGAGACCAAACAGAAGTCAGAAACGAGGCCCAGACTCCGCCCACCCACCGCCCCCAAAACATAAAGAAACAAATAATTAATTAACCCCGCCCAGGTCCTCGTCATCACCGCGGACACACACCTGAAACACACCTCAAGTCACCGCCTCCGATTCCCATGATTCTCTTTGTGTCTGATTAAAGGATCATTCCGCTTTAGTGCAACTCGTTTCTCTCTGTGACGGCGACACCAGGGAAACATCTGAGACCCGGTCCGGTTCATCCACACCTCCAGGTCTTATCTGAGACCCGATGCAACCGGTGGTTTCACTCTGCATCCCAGCATGCACCTGGCTACAGGAGCCATTAAGCTCAGTGTGGCTGATCCGGATTAAACGCCGCAGGTCTGAAAACAGCTGGTCGACCAGATCGTTAGTGGAGCGGGAGAAAAGACGGACGCTTCTCGTCATTGTGTCGGAGAGTCGAGCAGCTGCAGACGACACTTGGTGTTGGTGAGCGCTGAGCCAACAACCTTCACAATAAAACACGTTACATAAGAACATGTGCAACACGAGCCTGAGATATAACCACGCACTAATTATGAATAATTACTGTCTGATCATGTTGTGTATCTTCTCAATGACACAACAACACAACGGCTTCTGCAGCGTTTCGTCAGGAAAAGTTCAGTGAATTATTCAAATTGGAACTGGAGCGATTAATCAATTAGTCAGAATCAGCAGCTGTATTGATTATTGTCTAATTCTTTTAATCATCTTTAAGCAGAAATGATGTTTTAAAGAAACTGATCAACGGACAGAACAAGACGATTAGAGACGTGTGTGTGTGTGTGTGTGTGTGTGTGTGTGTGTGTGTGTGTGTGTGTGTGAGTGAGAGATCACTGACTGTAACTTTCAGGACAAATAAACTCTCAGCTTAATTTAGAAGATGCGATTTCATTCGTTCTCACTGTAGAAGCAGCTTCACGTCACCGTGACGACCGTTTACGAGCATCGTTCGTTCCCGTCAGAGTTTCTAAAGTCGACAGTCACAGTCAGGTGAGGCGTGAGAGGACGAGCTCCCTGCAGGTCACGTTTGTTTACAACAGGAAGTGCGGCTCATAAGGTTACTGCCAAGTTGCTATAGCGACGACTCAGCATCATAACCATGCAGAGAGAAGCTGGTAGGCGGAGCTCGACTTTAGATCTGTGAGTTGTAAAGAAGCAGAACAATCCTTTAACTCTTCCTCTCTCTCTCTCTCTCTCTCTCCCTCCCTCACCCCTTCTCCCCCGCTCTGGATAATTAAGCCTAAATCTATGTGCTGTAAAAAAAAACAAAAAAAAAACAAAAAAAAAAAAAAACAAACAAAAAAAACATCACATTGAAAAGAGGGAACAATTAAAATATACATATATAATATAAATGTCAATACTTGCTCCTGGGAGCTCAGTCACACTATCATTGGCATAAGAAAGGATGGATTTTATGCGATCTGATTCTGTTGCTTCTGTTGTGTGTGTATATATATATATATGTGTGTGTGTGTGTGTGTGTGTGTGTGTGGGCACGAACACAGCGTTTCAATGAGCGTCACTTCCTCCCCCAAAAGAAAACGGTGTGGTCCTGAACACCCGCCTCCTGATTAGAAAATGGATTTGAAGTCCACCAGCTGAGAGTTGATCCTGTTCAGTCTTAAACTATGATATTTAATAGATGATAAAATAAATTAAGCGCGGTGAGAGTCGCTCGGACTGAACTGCCTCGTCTCCTGCTCTTAAAGGAGAGAGAGGGAAGGAGGAAGGAAGGAAGGGGAGGGGAGGAAGAAGAGGAGGAAGAGGGGAGGTGAGGGGAGGAAGGAGAGGAGGGGGGAGGACCTAGGCCTGCGCGTTGGTGCCGTTCTTGTCCGGGGGTCCGGTGCTGGCCGGCAGGTTGTTGAGGGAGGGGGCGGCCTCTTGCTGCTTGCTGTCGCGGCGGGGGGGCATCCTCTCGTTGATGCGGTCCAGACCTCGGGCCTCCTCGAAGCTCTGGATCTTGTGCTGAGGGTTGAAGCCTTGAATGGCTGCGAGGAGAGAGAGGTGCGTCAGAGCAGAACCACAGAGGATGACGAAGAGTGAGGACGAAGGTCTAACAGCAGCAGGGTCAGAGTCACGCGCTGATCTGGGTTCAGATTTAGACTGAGGAGGATAACAGTAAGAGCTGCTGAGCGCCGTCAACTTCCTGTTTCACATCACGGACACGTCGACCTACCAAACGCCAAATATCATCACGGAAGACTAAAAAATAAACTGTAAAGATCCAGATTTCATGACGGAGTATTTGGTTCATTTAGGAAACAAATCTGAAATTTCAAGAATAAAGTTGTAATTTTAAAAATAAAATAATATTTCTAATCTTGAAATACTACGAATATTACAACTTTATTCTCATAACACTACAACTCTTGAAATATTAAGACTTTACTCTTGTAACACTACGCCTTTTTCTTCTTCTAATATTATTGCTTATTATTTCTGTATTTTTCCTGCTGTTGGTCCAAACAAGAATCTGTCTCTTTATGTTTAAACCAAGTTATTTCTCTGTTTCCAGGGTTTTCCATGATTCTAACGTCCATGTTGTTTCTCTCAGAATAATAATAACAACAATAATTACAGGATATTTTTCAGACGGTGTCTAATTAACACGCAGGTGCTCGACTGATTTATTTTAACGTCTTTAACAGCTGGAAACAGCTGGAAATCCACTTTGTTCCATCCTCCTACAACCTGAATCCAACCTCAGGTTTCCCCTGTTTGTTTGTTTCTGTTTGTTTTTGAATCAAATTTGAATAAATATTTCCCAGCTGACTTAAAGATCAGTTTAATACCTAATATTTCCTGTGTTCTGAACCCTCACAGCTGTTAGTGGTTGACTTGTGACCCTGCTGCTCGGTCTCTACTGGGTCATGCAGTTTGCAGAGCACTGGGAGGACTGGTTCGTCCAGGAGAGAGAACTTACTTCAAAACAGCACAAGGAAGCGTGAAGACAAAGAGACAGACTTTCATTAAACCAACTCACTCTGATTAACTGTTTCATGTAACTCATCATTCACTGCTATGACTGTTTACATGTTGTAATCCTTAAACAGTTAACACAATAAATCTCACACAGTCTAAAGTGCAGGAACTATTACATGAAATCACAGGATTTTAAAACACAATCAGGAATTGAAAATAATGGACACAATCCTGTCTGATCTTTCTCTAGTTAGTTTCACAGACACGACAGTAACAGAGGAACTAGGAGCTTTCTCCATAAAGGTCTGTGAACACATCACCACATAAATTCCTTCACAACAAAGGTCCAGTGCTGGTTAACCCAAACCAGAGCTGTTCTCTTTATTAGCTCATTGTATCTCTTGTTAATTGTCTTTGTTTGACTGTTTGTTGTTGTCTCTTTTTAGACTGAACATATTTCTAGCTAATTGTAGGATATTATTATGTAAAAGCTCAACTGGGGACAAAGATTAACAGCTATAAACTCTGTGCAACACATTGGTTTCATACATTGTTCTGAAGCTGGTAAACTGCATCGTCCATATTAAATAAATCAATAACAAAATGAATCTGAGACACTGAACCTCACGCAAGACGACTTCTTTTATTTTGAAAGTTTTGAAGTCAGTTTCACCTTCGACTTTCCAGGATCAGAGACATGACTCATTATTCACTGCTATGATTGTTTACATGTTGTCTAAACTAACACTGCTGGCCCCGCCCACAGCAGTGATGTCATCACTCTGCTAGCGTACCGGTGCTCCTGCTGAACCTGCAGCAGGTCACACACTGACTGTACGTGACGACCTCAGAGATCCCAGGTGGATCACCTTCACTTCCCTCAGTACCTGTCAGTGTCAAACCTCTGCGTTACCGAGGTGACGTGAGGTCAGCTGATCCAGCAGCAGCTGTGTGAACAGTGAGTCTGTGTTGGACCTGTGGTGACTCAGCTGACTCCACCACAGGGACACACTGTGTCTGTTGTTGCGTGAGGCTCAGTGTCTCGGGGATACGTGGAACTAACTTGCTCCATAAACCAGCGGACTGTGACCTTTGACCTTTTCTCTGCATTAAAACAGGATTACAGTTTCCTCGTTTGACTGAAAACACATTAATGGTTAAACCAGGACACACAGCAGAGACAGACAGAGACAGAGACGGAGACGGAGACGGACAGAGATGGTTGCGTACCTCGTGCCTCTTCTGCCTCTACGGTGGCTGTGTAAGCGTGAGTAGAAGTGCCATGCCCAAAACCAATGGAGAGAGAGTGGGAACGTTATATATCAACGCATTCAGTCAGTCCTGTTAACATGTAGTCAATCATCATACAACCCCCCCCACCCCCCCACCCATTACACCAGGTCGTGACCCGTACAGACAAGAGGTTAGAGCACAACCACAGAATCAAATCATCATCATCATCATCATCATCATCATAAACATCATCATCATCGTCATCATCATCACGGTTGGTTAGAATGAAAGGTGTTGACATCATGCTGCCGTAAAAAGATCAAATACATTGATAAATATTGATTTAAAGATGGATCTGTTCAGAGTGAGGCCTTCAGCTGGATCTGATCAATCAGCTGATGAGTTGATTAGTTACATTAAATGTTTGATGATCTTTGTGTCAGAGACAGAACGACAGGTTCGGATCATTTCAGAATATTAAATCTATATCTGACAGTTTATAGATAAAACAATTAGTCAACTAATCACAAAAATAAACGGCAGATTAATCAATAATTAAACCAATCGTTAGTGATCAGTGGATGGAAACAGGGAAGCTGCTGGAAAGTTCTTGTGCCAGGTCTGAACAATCTGTCATTAACTGTCTACACTCTGAGATCACTTTATTAGGAACACCTGTCCAATCCAACTACAGGCACGCTGATCCAGCTCAGTGCTGTATTAAAGTTGAAGTTGGTGTTGTACTGGAGGACAATCAATTGATCTTTTATTTTTTCTTTCTTTCTTTCTTTCTCCCCAGAAAAAGAAACGATTCCTCTCTGGGTTTTATACAGACGGAAAAGTGAAACGTGGATCCACCTGCTGTAAGAAACTCTTCTTCTCTGACTAAAACCTTTAGAACGGCCAACGCACACGATCAATCAGTGATGATCATCATTACTTTATAAAATCTACCAGCTCGTTAACAGAATGAAGAGACAGCGTCGTCCTGCCTGAACCCTCCCCCCCACTGTCTTTATAGGGCAGCATGGTGGAGCTGTTGAACAGAACAGACCTTTACAGGAGGAGAGGACACTACTTGACATCAGCGTCTCACTGTGTGTGTGTGTGTGTGTGTGTGTGTGTGTGTGTGTGTGTGTGTGTGTGTGTGTGTGTGTGGGGCTTGGGTTAGTCTCTCGGTGTGAGTGCAGGCACAGGGATGTTAGTGTTAGCTTGGACCGTTAGCGCTGGTGGTGAGATGCTCGGCTGCGTTCACACTCACCGCTTTGCAGAGTTCGCCGACCTCCGGACAGAACTCCCAGAGGCAGCGTCCCTGTGGGGGTGAGGCCCTTCAGCTGTAACACACTCTCATTCTCCTCTCTGCACACACACACACACACACACACACACACACACACACACACACACACACGAACAACAGGGTGGAAGAAGAGAAACTCAGTGTAACTCTTAAACCCTGATTTTGAAAGTGCGATATAATAAAAACAACATGGATTTAATCAACCACCAAAGAGCAGAATACAAACAACAGGCTGGGCTGACAACAATCTGGTTTCATCATTTCAATCATCTAATATCAGTTCATAAAATCCCAATAATTTCTTTTTAATAAATGTAAATGTAATAAATGTTTTGGATTGAAAAACCATGAAGACAAAAGCAAAACCCACTGAAAGCTGAAGGTGTGTTTACCTGTCACACATCACTGACCCACCTGTTGTTGAGTCTAAACTACTCACTTATTCTGTAAAGCGCCAAATCATAACGGACATTAATGATCAATATAAATAATAAGAAGTGCGTGAGTGTAAGTGCCATTCTTCATGTAAACGTGAATATTTCTAATGAGGCACCAGGTTAGAAGTTCAACCTACAGCTTCAGCTCTGAGAGAATCTGGTTCTGTGACTGAAACTGAATCAATATTAAATGGATGGTGAAGCTGCTCCACACACAGTGTTCACTGGTTTCACTGTGTGATTGTGCTCTAATTAAAACACTCGGGGCTCTGCTCATCTGCTGATCTGAAGACACCCGACTGACGAACAACCACAGAACAAGAAACAGTCACTTTACCTTGTGTGTTGATTATTCATTGATAGATAATTACTGTTAAACGAATAAATGTTGAATGTAACTTCTTTCTGTCTCTGTGCGTGTGTGTGTGTGTGTGTGTGTGTGTGTGTGTGTGTGTGTGTGTGTGTGTGTGTGTGTGTGTGTGTCTCTGGTATTAAACATTCTGCAGAATTAAAAGACAGTTTTATATATATATATTTAAACCACTGCAGAAACACACTCAGTGTCTAACACAGATTCAAACTCCTGTTCTGGTGTAACTGATGTAGAACTGGTGATGTGTTCGGGGGGTTGATCTCTGTGACAGTGATCAATAGTGATCATCGCTGGACTGATACTGAGTGTTACAGGAACTTCAGACAACATGTCACTGATGCTTTTCTGGGCCTTGAAATAAGTGGGAGAGGTTTTTCTGAAGGAGAACATTCATCATTAAAGGACAAATCGTCCTGACACACTTCCACTGGATTAAAGGAGGACACGTGTAAATCAAGCAAAAAGTCATTAGCCTTGTATTAAAGTGGAGCAGGGCTGTGGAGTGACACAGGACCTTCTCTGATAACCTTCTTCACTGGATATATTTAAGTTGTACTTGCATTAATGGAAACCTAAACCCACTCATGAAAATACAAATGAAATACATTTAAAATCAGAGAGAGTCTGAGGACCGTCCTCTAAGGTCTCGCACAGCAGCTGCCAGGACGAGACCTCCTCCTCAGCGACTCGTCACATTAAGGTTAAAGTGAAGGCGAGAGTCTCTTTCAATCCTGACGACTTCCACG